TGATTCAGCAAAGAAAATGTTTACGTGAGAATTTTGTCTTTCCCACAGACGGCGCTAAACTGATGATGCACAAATTTGCTTGCACACCACTAGTCAAGTGAGTAGTATAAAATGCAATAAAATAAGTAGAGAAAGAAAGAGAACAAGGTTTATAGTGGTTCGGTCAACAAGACTTACGTCAACTTTCAATGGCTAAGTCCGCCGAGAATTTTATTAACTCCGGTGTGTTGGGAGAGTAGAGAATTACAAGAGAGAAGAGAGGAGCTTTGATTTTGTGAGATGCCCCTTAAGTGTTGCGGGAGCTTACAATTTATAGTCATTTGCGTAGTAATTGTATAGCTAGTCTGAAGGTCATAATTGGGGCCATTTAATAATAATTAAATCCCTTGGCGACTTCTCCTCTCTTTGACCTCTCCTCTCCTCAACAGGCAAGGATATGGGAGGTTGATTCTCTCTAAGCTACGAGGATGACCTCTCCTCTTCTCACCTAATGCTTTTTTGGTGGTGTAACTCCCTGATGGGCTTGATTGGGCCTGAGCCTCGTTGGGCCTACTGAATCTTTATAGATTTGGACTCTTGGAATCGAGTCATTAAATTAGACCGGACTTATAATATGAGTTGGCCCTCGGACTTGACACATCAGAAATCATAAATCAAAAGTTGGGATCTTAAAGTTGATTTTGATGGGCTATTTTTAATGTAATTGTTCTTATTATCATCATAAAATTCAACTTGGTGGCCACTGCATGGGAACAATTTGCTTTAAATAAAAGCACAAAAATTTGTTTGGCTGAAAATAACAATCATGCTCTGTGAAGTTACTTTTCTGTTAATAAGGTTCTTGAAGAAATCAAAGTAATGAAAAGAATGGTTTAATTGTATCGGAGATTTTCAAATCACGGAGTTTGTCTCATTTTGATTATATTAATATTTCAATTGTCTTATTTTAGTCTATAAAGTATTCAATATATTCCTATATAGTCCCTCAAGCAGACAGTATCCAATATTTTTTTATTATAAACTTGTCATGTAATATTTAAATATGTACAAAAAAATAATTTGAATAATTTTTGACAAAAATTCTACCCAAATTTTGAAAAAAACACTATCTAAATAGCACAGTTTTAATCATAAATTATCCTATTTTTGAATAAGAATTACTCATATTACATATTTTTTGTCAAGAGTTACCTAAATTTTAGTCCAGAGCTATCTAAATTATTTTTTGCCCATATTTAGGTATCACGTGATAAATTTATGATAAAAAATCGTTAGTAATATAGATATTGTCTGATCGAGGGACTACATACAAACATATTATATATTTCAAGAACTAAAATAATATAATTAAAATATTAAGAATTAAAATAAAATAAATTCTATATTTTAGAGACTCCTAATACAATTAACTCAAAAAAAATTTATTACTCTTTGAATCCTATTTTTCAGTTGTTGAGCAAAAAGATGTTACTAAGGCTTACTCAATTTCAATCATTACCACAAAATCTAGGTTGGTCAACTCGAATTCAATCTAAAATGTTTAGTATTACAAAAAAGATTTTATATAGTTTGAACAAAAAAGTTTAACCCAATAAAATAAAGCTTAATTTAAACATACAATACAATACAATAAAAGAAATTTAAACATACAATACAATAAAGCCCAAAAAAAAAATAATAATAGGTGGCAGTGATCGGGATGGATGAGTGTATCTGTCTGTTCTGAAAAAAAAAAAAAGAAATTTTGGGTGTGAATCTTGAAAATTGTGATAAGTGTCAATCAACTCCATTTATTATTGTGGCCCATTCGGAGAGTACCATAATTAATTAACCCAACCCCCCTTCACCCTTCTCTCTTTCTTGCATTTTTGGAATGTGGAACAAAAAACTTTTTAAGGCAAAATAATAGGGACACCTTAAAAAGTAATATAAATTAAAAGAATATGGTATCTATCAAGTGGCGGACAAATGAAACTGAGTTTTGTATGAACAATTTAAAATTTTAACTAGTTATAACTTAGTTTGTTTACTCATATGATCGGAGTCAAGAACAAGTTCGAAAAAGAAATTAGTAAGTCAGGCTTGAATAAGATGTTTGAATTAGCTGAAATCGTGGAGACTAGTGCTTAGCTCGGTTTGGTTTATTTGCTCTCCTATGTCAACAAATTAAGTTATATTGTGATACAATAAAGTTTTTTAAAAAAATAAAATGTGGGTAATGTATTAATATATCATCACTTGAATAACCCATTTTTGTAACAAACATAGTTATTTTAATAAAAAAGAAAAACTTAGCAATAAAAGGTAGTCAGGTCTGGTCAGGTCAATTACTAGTAGAAGAGACAAGAGAGGTGCAGACAAAAAATTAAAGATGGGATAAAGAGTCTTTAAATAGGGGGTGGAGTGTGGAATAAAGGCATGGATAATGAAGAATAAAGTCACTTAGATATCATAACAAAGGTGGAGAGGACTCATCAAGAACAAAAATAGGAAGTTATTTACTTTGATTCCCACAGATAGAGAGAGAGAGAGAGAGAGAGAGAGAGAGTACATAGAAGACAACGGATTCAGTGATTAGTAGGGGTCCAAGAGAGAGAAATGATAGTAAATTTTACCTCTATTTTAAAACATTGATTCCAATGAATAACCAGTGACATAAGAAATAAAGATTTCAAAAATGTTATTGGATGCACATTAAGATTAAGATTAATTGCAACTTACCAAGCCCTCTCTCTCTCATACACAAGGCTTCCAAACTTTTTATTTTTTTTGGTTCAACGATAGGGGTTTTTGCGTCAGGTTATGTATACTTCAACTAATCACTTTATCGATCTGGTCAAAGACAAGTCATCCACACCGAGATTAGAATATTCATAACAAATAAATTTCTCACGCTTTAACCTCAAAGAATTCTCAATATTTAAATTTAAAATGTCAAAATTTATAACTAATCTATATTATCACTTGAACTACTTTTAAAGGTGGCTAGGAAACTCTCAGTTGAATGTAAATGCATTGTCCACGTATCTCAAGAGGACATAATTTATGTTGAGAACTCCTCTTAATAACACAACATGGATAGTGCCATGGTAATTAAAAAAAACTCGTAACCTAATACTTTTAAAGATTATATTATATTTTTTAAATGTAAAATTTTAACTGATTAATATAATTTATAATCGATTATAAAATATAATAATCGATAATCATTTAGTATGATTAGTTTTAATTTCTCTTTTCCTAGTTATAAATAATTTAATTTTAAAAAATTATAATTTTATAATTTTCTACGTAAACATTTGAAGTAAGCCTGCCGCGTGAAGGAACAACCCAGTGAACAAGCTACCCATTTTCAGCTACAGAGCTAATTTTCACCACTGACCTTTTGACCATTCATTAACTGTAAAAAATATGACTTTATATGCACGTGAATTTGCGTGTAGGATTGAATTTGGTAGTGAAAAAGTTATTTCTGTGTACCTTTTTCTTTGTATTTTGAAAAACAAAAATGTTGATATTTTTAGAAAAATAATGGATAAAATTAATTTTAAATGATGTAATCAAATAAATGAATGAAAAAAATATTATTTAATATAACGGAATCGATTTTTTGAGTGACTCAAATTTTATATTTTATCGTGCTTTTAGACACGGGTTATGACTAGTTTTACTATATCAATTCAAAATTTATGACCATAAATTCATGATTACTAATTAATTATTTTTAGTATGATACCAATTTTTTTTTTTGTGGGTACCAATGTCTTATCCTGTATGTATATACCAAACATTGTAAAAAGAGTAATATTATTTGGACTTAAAAAAAAAAAAAGGGCAATTCCATGCAAGAGAATAGTCGCATATATGCCGAGATTTTATATATAATCAAAATTTTATCTTCCTCCTACTTAAACTTGAAAGATTAGAATAACAAAAATTGATGATATTTTAAATTTTGAAGCCCTTAGAGGCATGAAAAGTGAAAACTAATTCACTTGTATCGTGAGAGTGGCTCCAATTATTTATGATCACATTGCATAGTTAGTTCTTATGTGAACTTGTGTGTGTGTGTGTGAGAGAGAGAGAGAGAGAGTTAGCTCAAGTCAATAACTCCCACTTCTGTGGAAAGCTTATTCACCTCTTCTTAATTATTCTATCATTTAACAATTCACGTGAATTGCCCTGGCACAGTCTTAATTAGTTATGGTTAACCTTCATGAGGTGGCCTTGTTTCATTAATTTCACAAGGTACTGGTCCAAATCATGGTTCATGAGTGGTCTATTTTGACATAGAAAGCTCAGTCTTCTCTCTTCATATCAATCAAATGAGATTAAATAAACTTTCTGTTAAGAGAAAATGAGATTAATCCAATCAGATTACACTAACTGTGTGTTCTTTCATAGATGTCAACGAAGTTTCATGAAAAAAATTGAAACCCAAGTGTAAAACAAAAGATAAGCAGACCGACACATCTTGTTTGCCTTAATATAGTAGCTTAGATCAGATGTGTGCTAACCATAACATATCAGAAAATCGAGTTTTTGGGATTTTATTGGTGTCTTGTGAGTTTAACTGATACTGGGTTAGGGTTAGTGGGTGTTTGTAGTGTATGTATTCGAAGCTTGCTATGTTGAACTAAGTTCAATAATATTTGGCCAGATTTTGAGGAGGTTAGTCAGAAAAAAAAAAAACATTGAGTTGTCTACGAGTCGAGAGGGTCTTTCTGTTTGTACTACAATGAAGCTCTAATACAAGTTACACAGTGTTTCTAATTTAATTACTTTGAAGGCCATTTCTTTCAACAATTCTCTCTCTCTCTCTCTCTCTCTCTCTCACCCCTTGTCCTCTCCACTCTCTGACACACTGCTCTCCATCCATATGGCGTAAACTTGATGGCTGATAGTGCAAGCAAAGCAAACACCCCACTTTTTTATCGCCCTCTCTAAACCTCACTGTATTCCTCTTTGTTTGTTAAAAAAATCTGCTTTTTTTCTCTCTCCTCTCCACCCTTTTTTGGCCCTCACTACTGCTATAAGCTCATGCTTAGTGCCTCACTAGCAAAACCAAACTCCAAAACTCTCCCTACTGTCTCTCCTCTCCCATTCTCTTCTACCTCCTTCATTTCCCATTTGCCCTACTTTCTGAACCTAAAACCTCTACTCTGTCAAGTATTTTCTTAGCCAAATATTCTGCTCTTAAAAAGTTTTGTCCTCTGCCATGGAAGAAGGTGTTTAAGTTCAAGGTTTTCAGAATAAGTATGGTAAATTGGTAATCCCCAGTGCTGCACCATTTGTTGTGGCTAGAGCCTCTACTTCTCTCTAACTGTCATTGTCTTTTTCAGGGAAACAGTTGCAAGTGTTGACTCCTTCCTCTCTCAGTTACTCTTTGAAGTGATAGAGAGAGAAAAGCAACGAAGAGAGGTCCATTTGCTCATGTGGGTTGGTTCTCATAACCAGCTTCTGCTTATGGTTGCTGAATTTGCTTGTTTTTGTTGTCTTCTGTCTGCCTAAGACCATAGAGCAAATGAGATGACTATTCAAAGCCTCAAGACCATATAGTCCCTCCTACAGTCCACCCGACTCCCTCTCTCTCTCTCTCTCTCTCACACACACACAGACACACACAAACATCAATCAACTGCAATTACATAGTATTAAAGGTTATGTTTCTAGTTATCATTAGTGGGTCATTTACTTTGGTCTGAGAGGAAGAAGGATGTTGTAGGTATGGTGTCAAGAAGCCACAGTTTCCTAGTTGTGTAGTGTGTTGCTTCCAAAAGAGTGGACAATTATTAAGAAAACTCCTAAAAAATTTGAGTCTGCCAGCACTTTTAATTTAATCATATAGGTTCTTCTCCACTGTTTTGTTCCTTCTCTTTTGGTCTCCAAACAAACAACAACAATAAAAAAAAGGCCACAGAGGGAGAAGAGGGTGAGGACTGAGGAGGCTAGAAATGGAACTTTCAAGTCAGGAAGGAGAGATACCAATTCCAATCAACACTACATATGGTGGGGGACATGGGCATGGGCACATGATACATGACCCAACACCCCACAACCACATTATACCTTCTTCAGCTCCCCAAATCCCCTCCAATGGCCCCATATCCACAACACTGGAGGACCATATGCCCTACAAAAAAATGGTCAGATATAGAGAATGTCTCAAGAACCATGCAGCTTCCATGGGTGGGAATGCCACAGATGGGTGTGGTGAGTTCATGCCCAGTGGAGAAGAGGGTACCCTACAAGCCCTCACATGCTCAGCCTGTAACTGCCACAGAAACTTCCACAGAAAAGAGATTGAAGGAGAGTCCTCATGTGATTTCTACCACAACCCCTACCCCAACAGGGTAGGAAGGAAAGTCATTCTGGGACATCACAAGACCATTTTAGGGCCAGAGACTTTGGGGTACCCAACAGGAACCCTTATATCTTCCAGAGCAGCTCAACCCCACCAGATGATAATGTCATATAATATGGGTTCTTTACCTTCAGAGTCGGATGAACAAGAAGATGGTGGTGGTGGTTTTGTCGGTAGACCACCTCAAATGGTGAAGAAAAGGTTCAGGACAAAGTTTTCACAGGAACAGAAAGAGAAAATGCTCAACTTTGCTGAGAAAGTTGGGTGGAAAATTCAGAAGCAAGAGGAAGCTGTGGTGCAACAGTTCTGTCAAGAAGTTGGAGTCAAGAGAAGAGTCCTTAAGGTTTGGATGCACAACAATAAGCACAATCTTGCCAAGAAGAACATTTCCACTGATCAAAATCAAATTTAGAAAAAAAAATTGAAAAAAAAAACAACTTTTTTCTCTTCCATCTGCTGGGTAGCTTAAAATATTACCATCTATTTCTTTTTCCTTTTTAACATTTTTATTCCTCTTGTCTGCTTTTGAAGTTATTATCTTATATTATTTGAAATAACATTGGTAATGTAATGTAGGTTAAGGAAATTGGATTTGGGTAAAGTTTGAGTTGTGAGTGGTTGTTCTTGTCCAACCCATTCAGTGTAGATTGGATTGATAATGCCCTTTGAGAATCTCTTATGCATGAATATTCTAATCTTAATTAAAGAGTTCCTTCTTGATTAATTTCTTTCTTTTTAATTTTCTCTTGATCATAGAACAAGAAATGATATAGTATGCTTAAACAAGCTGCATTAATCATAATCTTTAAATTTTCTAAGCCTATAATGACTATAATGTGAAATTTGGACACAGTTATTAATTTGTACTTAAGAGAGGAAGATTTTTTTTTTTTTTTTTGGGGGTTAAACAGCAAGTTCATTGTTAAGCACTGTCGTTTTATCTAATTTTCACTATCAAATGCAAGAAAAATCCTTCCTTAAAAGTATATTGCGGACTTAGAATCATTTATGTGAAAGTGTATGTACGATTTGACAAGAGAGGAGTACAGTGGCTTGCCCCCTTGCATAACTTTGAATGAGTTGTGTGGACTTGATCCTGCATATATTTTCTCTTACTTTCTTATAATTCTGTTCATGACTTCAAACAAGATCAGCTATAGACAAGTAGGTCCCTACCTACCAACACAAAATTCAGTGATTCTATCACTGAAGAAAACGGAAAGAAAACATATTAGTAATAATTTGAAAGCGAATTTTGTTGAAAAACAAATTGAAAGAGTTGTGCTAGGATGAGGAAGCCTTTGTTATATATGTTTTTAATTGCTATAATATATTTTTTTTTTTTTGAGGTGGGGGAATCGCATTTTTGCACCCTAAAATATTTACGATTATTCTTTTGCACGGTCAAAGATCTGATTTTTCACATAGTATCTTCAATGTATTAAAAGTGTTATAATGTGATACAGGGAAACATTTAAAACACGGGTATAAAAAACAAGAAGGAGATAATGAAACTAAATCGTTGATTTTGGCACAAGTATCGATTTAGAATCATACTTTAGGCTTGTTGATTTTAAAAAAAATGTCGGTTCTAAATGTTTTAATAAATATATTGATTCCTAAAAATGCAAGAAGAATTAGAAATAAAAAGAGAAACTCTCTTAATTATATTCAATAATCAAAAGCTCCACACCCTAAGGCTTACAAGGGTATAAATAGTACAAGAAATTCCAAAACTAACTAAGAAATAATAAAACATGACCTAATTATTACGTAATTAGACCATTATTATAGATTTTGCCAAAACAAAAATAAAGTTCCAAATTAATTATACCTCTAAAAACTACTAATCACCCGGATCAATGTAGAATTGACGACGATCAATTTTGAATTCAATCTATGAAGTTATTCAGAAAAAATTATCAAAAGATACAAAAACACTTTTTTAGATCCTAAACGAAGTAATTTGCTCAAACTTCGCCTTGGGTGGGGATGCAATGAGTTTGTTTTTTCTCGTTGTTTCTGACTGGACATGTGTATTTCTAAACCCATGAATGTGGAAGTGGTTTTGAAAAAATCAACCTATTTGACCGACCCGAACTACCTCAATATCGATCCCAAAGATCTAAGTATTGTGTGGTTATCTGATCTATATCATAATGTGACTTTTTTGTTATCTTTTGTTACTTATTCTTTCAAAAATTATTCCTTTGACATTAACGAAATGAGTAATAGAAGCAAACAGAAGGGGCAGAACGTAACACTTTTTATACATTAAACATACAATGTGAGAAATTTAAGGTGCAACACAATTTTTTAAAATATATTAAGGTACAAAATACAATTAACTCTTTTTTGAATATGGTTTGTGTGCTTTCCTCTTATCCTAAAGGTTTCTTTTGTTCAATCCAAAGCTAAGAATAGAACAAGGTTGTAGTTTGGAAAATAATTTTTTAGTAATTTATCAAAAATAATTATTATCCATAGGTATTTGTTTGATGTATTTGTAAATCGTGAGAGTAACATACTAAATCAAAATTGGTTACTTTTCTAGAGTCTCTCTTATTTATGTCTCCCTCATTTTTAGGGAGGAACATATCATCTCAATCTCATCATCCCAAGGCCAAGGCACACATGTGTTTGGATGAATATAATTATACAGTGCCTAAGTATAATTATACAGTACCTAACTCCACCTAGGCTTAAGTTGAGAGTGCCATGTGTTTTTCATCTGCATCACCAATGTGCATAATTTATGGCATGAACCAAACTGAAGCTATCCAGAATAGTTAAAAAAAAAAAATTATTGCAGAAAGATGTCTGATTTTATATTCATTATAATCCTACAAGCTAAAGGCATGACATAAATCGATGACAATCTTCATCGACCTAAGTTATAAGTTGTGGGATCGAGTCTATGAATTGTTTTGTTCAAAATGGAGAAAATATTGTTTACTATTTTATCTCTCGCAAAACTAGTTATAGAGGAGAGCCTTGTCCATGCAATAGGGGTTTGATTGGTAAGGGGTATGGGGGGATTGGTAACATGAGTTTGAAAAAAATAGTCAAAATGATCCTCAAATTTCATGTTTGTATTGAAAATTTAGTCTCGAATTTTTAAATTCGGCCAGTAGTTGGCTTGAAAATAAAATTTATGATCATAAATTTCGTCAAACCTATGGGAGGACTGAGTTTGGGAAAATGGGTAAGGGGGTTAAGGATTTAAAAAATAATTGTACCCCTTAATATGTGTATAAATTATATTGATTAAGGGTAAAATAGTCATTTATATGACAAATAATTATTAATAATTATGATATATCCGTATATCAAACATGTGTATATGTTTCATAATAAATATAGATGTGAATCGAATGAAATATTAAATCACATCTTTATAAAGATGAGTTTAAATTTAAAAAGGTTTGAAGAAACTAATTCAAATCCCTACTTAAAATTCATCCGAAGATTTGGATTCATCTTCTAATATGATATATTATCCTTGACAGATTAAAAGTACCCCTAAACTCTAGGATATCCTATAGCTACAAGAGAAGTAACAGCCCTCAAACCCATAAGGTGCACTTGGGGCCCTCCACCCCCAACAAAAGCAATTGTACCAATTGTTTTTACTGTCTCAAGCGAAACCCCCAAACCTCAAAAAAAAAAAAAAAAAACAGTTATGTATGATGCTGAGACTTTTAGTCGTGTCAAGAAAGGGTGACAAATAGGCTTGCATCAATAGGCTGTAGCTAGTTCTTGTAGTGTGTGAAGAACACCTGCCACCCACAATTTATGTAAAATACTGCTCTTGACAGCACTCTTTGTCTTTGACCTAACCAAATTAAATTTGTTTTTAAAGAAATTACTCTTTGGCATTCAAAGTTCATACATACCATGGATATATATATATTATAGTTTTATTTAAAAAACATATTAAAAAAATCTTCTGAGGTTGAGATAATTTGACATTTCTAAAACAGACCAAATGATTTCTCATGCATATATCAACAATTGTGAGCAATCTGTTGAGATAATTCAAACGATAACAGAAATGATCAGTAAATTTAGATGTTTAAAATTTAAATTTTGATAATTTTTTTGAGTCATGTCCCGAGAGATTTATCTTTCATAAATATCTTAGTTTAAGCGTGGATAATTTATCTTTGATCAGATTAGAGAAGATATTATTCGAGGTGCGCGTAAAGAAATTCAGTCAAACAAGAGATTTGCCCCAAATAATTGAAATTCATCGTTGTTTATTATCTAATCTCACAAACAATGTACAGGATCAACTAGAATTTTGAATCTAGTGCTACAACGCCCAAAGATGATATCTAATGCATAAGACTCCATTTATAACTGGATCTAAAAAGAGATAAATAATAAATCATCTTACTCTTGTTAGTTATTAAAACGTGATATATTCTTGAATTTAAATGCACGGCATTTCACTTGTTATCACTTTAAGTCCGATATCTCCATTCTTGCTATACCAAAATAAGAATAATAAATCTCCCATTCAATAATCTATGAAAAACATAGATCTTAAATTTGCCAATGATGTTTCCAACCACTTCCCTCAGCTAACCCTTATCTTGTCCATAAAGGCTAAGGTCTATAACTCTCACATGAAAAAACTGGATTTACTTTAGCAAACCTGTCCTCTGACAGAGAGAACAAGGAGGTAGCCTCTCCTACGCTTTCTTCATTTAAGAGGCCTCATAAATATGCAACCATGATGTTCTGAGACAAGTTTAATATGCCAGATGACATATTTAATGGAGCTACCTATGCTTTTAGTGAAATTACATATTTGCCCACATGCATCATGTAGGATTTTTTTTTTTTTTTTCTCGTAATAGGAATCTTTTCAATCAAACATTATTTAGATAAACATTCCAATTTACGTCTTGTTCGTTATTGAGCCATTGAACCAAACCGTGCAGATTGAGTTTAACAGTTGTTTTGTTTGTGTGTGTGAGGTCAACTATGTATATATTTTCCATGGTGTAGCTGGTATGGATTGGAATTATAAAGTGGGCCACAGACTGGCATAGGCTCTTCCTAGGCGGATAAACATGCTCTGCTTGCAAGGACTTCATCAATAATGGAGTGCACCTAATAGCAAGATATGACTTCCTGCAGTGACCTGTGACCCACACCCTCATCGCTAGAATCGCCACACGATCTCTTTGCATGGTGCCCACCGCCAGGCTTGTGGTTTTAGTCAGAGTTATTCAAATTTTTGATTAATCATAAATTTTGATCTTATCTTACTTTAATTGAACTTACTGATTATTTACCTACAAAAATCGGATAAGACAATGAAAAATCTTTTAGTATTTCACAAAAAAATCAAGTAGAAATACAAAATATCCATAAAATTTTCGTATTTGTACTCTACCCTACTCGCATATATTTATATAATAAATTAGTTTACAATTCAAATTTCAAAAGATAAACAAAATGACTTTTGTTATTTGCAGTTGAGATCGTTTTAAATTTTACTTTAAAATTAATCTAACAGCTAATATTAACACCCTAAATTTAATAGGAACAGTAAGCTTTTAAGGGTGTGTTTAAAGTGATTTTTTTAAAGTACGTTTAAAAATTATTTCTCATAAATACTTTAAAAAAAAAAGTGTTTGAAATCGTCTCACCAGTACTTCTACCACCACCATCGCCACTGTCGCCGCCGCTGTCGCGACTGTCGCCGCTATCGCCACCACCACCACCACCACCACCACACATGCACCCTCGTCGTCGCTACCACCATTGCTACCACGATAATTGTCACCCACCACAATCATTATTATCTCCTACCACCACCACCTCTCACCCTCCACTACAAACGGATGCTTAAATTCCTTTATCTTTTCCTTATATTTGTGATTTGATTTTGAATATGAATGCAAATATGTTTATTGTTTATCATTTTTTATTATTCTGTGCCTTCAGGCACAGACAATAACTAGTATATATATAAATGTTAACATTTAAAAAATATATATACATATATCCCTAAAAATTAACTTTCTTTTTTTATGATGTATTGATATTGATGATTTTCTTATAGTATTTTATTGTAATTATTTATATATTATCGAATTTATTGTATTTTTTAGTGTTATTGGTTTATTATGTTAGTTAATCGGTGCAGGTTAATTAATTAAATTGTTCAAATAATTCAAAAATTAATAACTAAAAAATATGTGTTCACCTAATTTTCTACCCGATTATTTTGAATAGAATTCGGATAAAAATATTATACTTGATCAGGTAAGGTAGATTAAGAAAAATTATTTCACAAAATGTCTGATAGAAATATAAAATATCATAACTTCTTGTCATAGGTTAGTACGAATACCCCTAGGCCTACTTGCTATCCATGACAAAGTTCTGCATTTTCGGATCGTGTAAACTCAAGAAACTCGTCTAAATACTATTTGAAACTAATTAATTTTATGACGTTTTTACTCACATTCACGGGTATATGATTAAAAAAATTGTATAATACACGAGTTTCTTGCCACGTCATGATCCGAGAAGAGTCGGATGTGAGTAGTTTTAGTACTCTTAATATCTGGAGAAATTGTTTTTGTAACAAGTAACCCATACTGTCCAAATAGCAATAGGGGAATTTTACTAATACATCAAGGTCCGTCTTCGTAGTAATTAGAGCATCTTCAATAATGTTATATAAAATAATTACTTAAAATATATTTAAATATTATATTATCTACTTTAACTAATCACTTTTTCAAATTTATTCCAACAATACTATCAATTTTAGCTAACTACTTTAACTAACTTTTAATAATGAAATTTAAAAAATAGCAATTCAACTATACATTGTACAAATTTAAGCAATTATGGGCTAAAATAGTATATATCATAAAAGATGGGCTACAACAGTAAATATCAAGGGGTTTTGTTGAATTTTTTAAGGGTTTTGTTGGATTTTTGAGGGGTTTACTGAATTTTTGAGATGTTTTACTGAATTTTTGGAAAATTTTGCTATATTTTTTGGAAAATTTTACTAAATTTTTTGGGGGATTTTGTTACATTTTTTGGGGGGTTTCACTATAAATTTGACGATGAAGCCTCTCAGATCAAATGATGAAGCCTCTCAAATCAAAAACCCTCTCAGATCATATTCAGCTCAAAACCCTCACATCAAAATCCTCTTAGATAAAAACCCTCTCAGTCGGTGAAGTTTTGCCTTTGTCTTCAGTCTTCAATCGGTGGAGCAAGTCTTTTGCGATGGGGGTGTTGTTGGCGCAAAAATAGAATAGCTAGCTGTTTTTCCTTGCCAAGGATAGCCAGCCAAATGAAAGCTATGGAAAATAGCTAGTGTGATAATTAACTTGTTGGAGATAAGATTTAAGGTATGCTTATGTAAAATAGCTAAGAAGACTAGTTTATTGAGACTTTTAAAATTACTCTAAGGTTATCAAAAACCAAGATTTTATGGGCTGTTGACAAGCATTGTTGAATGTTCGTATGTTTATGCAACATTTAATTCCCAAACCTATTCAAACGAATTTGGAGTCATGTACAATCATCCTTTTCCCTTTTTTCTTCATAGATTTTTCCTCACCCAAGAATACCCGAGGCCCCTACCATTCTGGACCCCAAGAAGGTTGGACCTTGGAGCTTTGGGCAAGCCCAGAGTATACTAGGCTTGTTATTATAGAGAAAATTGAAAATTGGGTATGTGTCTCCTATAAATTGAGTTTAGTCTATCAAGAAAATTTATTTAGGAATAAATTTATTTTTAATCTAAGTAATAAATAGTTAAGTCCACTATTTTTTAAAAATTCTAAAATACCCTTTCTATAATATTGATAGTAGTCTTTAACGTTTAAATCAGTTTCTTAACCGAAAACAACTAATCATTAACATTTAATATAGATATGCTAGTAAGATTTTTTCTATAAAATTTAACATTCAAAATTTTCATATATATATATATATATATACAACTTCAGCCCATAAACTTTCCCAAACAAAAAAAAAGGCTTAAATTTTTTGAGAAACAGAGTCAATCTCGCCATTTTCCATACCAATCTTCTTTGGCGAAGATTCTGATGAATGTTAGGCCAAAACTCCACCATTGGCAAACGTAACAGTCTCCAAAGGAAAATACTATTTAGATCTAATTTGGGAACCTAATTCAATACGACCATTGAATTAGTTGTGCGCTCCATTTAACATTGGAACTCACAACTAATCCAATGGTTGCATTGAAGTCACATCATTAAGTCCTTAAATTAGATCCCCAAATAAGGTCCTACAGCATTGCTCGTCTCCAAAAGCTTGCTCAACTTCTTATCATTCCTCACTGCTAGCTGTATATGTTTTGGAACAATCCGATTCTTCTTGTTGTCCCTCACTGCATTCCCAGCAAGTTCAAGAACCTATAAAGAATCAAAAGCCCTAATTCATCAAATCCAAAGAAAACTTGGCGTACTTGGAAAACTAAAAAATTACCTCAGCTGCGAGGTATTCAAGGGCGACAAAGAGATAGGCCAGAGCATCGACACCGACACGTTCGATGTACTTACCGGATTTAAGACAATGAGCTATTTTTTCGACGGGAAATTGGAGGTCAGCCTTGTGAGATCTAGAGACTGACTTTGAGGACTTTGGTTTGTCATTGTTTGTTGTTAACTAATGATGATTGAATGAGTTAAATTTCTCTTTATTTGTTGGTAACTATCATGATTGAATTATTGGTATCGATTAAATATTATTATTATTTTTAAATGTTACTGTTTTTTGATTTGAATGTTACTATTTTTGTTTAAATGTTTTATCAACTTCTCATATTGCTTAAAAATGCTCAATGTGTTATTAGTTTGAATCTCAATTTTGTTCATGTTCCATGTTACTATTTTTTTTTGACCATGTTACTATTTTTTTTTATTGAGTATGTTACTATTTTATTGAGCATGTTATTACTATTATTTTTGAATGTTATATATTTATATAATAAAATAAAGTTGAGTTTGAATTTTAAAGATAAAGAGAAGTCCATATCGTATTAAGACAAAACATAAATGCATCTAATAGACAACGTAATCTCAACATAAAAGACAGTTCAAATTATCTCATAAATACTGATCCGAAGGTTTACAATGAGTACTGAATTTTATTTTTCCTTCCCAACAATATTTCCTTTTTTAATTATTAGGGATTTTAACTTTCCCCAAATCTCTTTTCCTCATTCCTTTATCGTTACCGATGAAAACCAATTTTGTTATCATTAATCAAGATTAATTACCTGACTCACGCCTCTCTCTCTCCCCTTCGGAATCTCTCAAATTTTTCTCAAACTTACTTCTACCTCTCTCTCTCAATCTCAAATCTTCTGCCTCTTTCTCCCAATCTCGGCCAATTTAACCACACACAAGCCACTCAATCCAACACACAACCCAAGCCAAGCATGCTCTCTCTCTCTCCTCTGGCTCTGCTATGGCTCAACTAGGTTTCCCCTATCTGTCATGGCTCCTCTGCCGTTGTGAGACCCGATCATGCATTGCATACATATTAGCATAATTAAGTGGACTAATTATAATTATGTGAAATTATTTATTAGATGAAATTTTGTGTACGAAAATAGTATTGAATTGATTTTGAAATCACTTAAGAATTTGGTGTGAGGCAAATAGAATTATTAAAGTTTCATGAAATATCTTTATACATGTATCAAGGCTAAAGTGGTGGATCATTTTGGAAAAGTCAAGTGCATGTGTGTGTGTGCGCCAAGTGTATGTGTGTGTCTTAAGGTGTAGTAAAGTGTGTATGTGTAATTTATGGAATAATGTGTATGTATACTTCAATATGTAGTAAAGTGGGTGTGTTTAAAAGACAAACCAGTGTGTGTGTGTGTGTGTGTTCAAACCGTGAGTGAGGGAGAGTAAAGGAGAGGAAGAAGAAAGAAAAAAAAAAAGAAAAGAAAGAAGAATTTTGGAGACTTCATGTCAAACCAAAAGTAAGAAGAAAACAAGAAGAAAATAAGAGTGTATGTGTGTGTGATTAATTTTAAGTATTTGTGTATATGTGTTGAATTGCTTTAATGTAATTTCAAAGTATATTTTGGTGAGTTTAAATTAATGTATTAAACATAATTAGTGGGTTGTTTTGTGTTAAAATAATTGGCAGTTTTATTTTAAGTTCAAAATAGATTTTATTAAGGGTGTTACACAAAATTAGGGGCTGTTAAGAAGGGGTATTAAATGGGTACTCAACCGGGTGTACGAAAAGTGTATAAATAATCATTTGAAATATTCGGGAAACATTTAGTGGACTAGGTCGAAAATGAAAACTTTGGGAATAAAATGGGTGGTTTAAAGGCACAATTAAAGGTTGTTTTACATTGATTAAATGTGTATGTGAATTTAAATATAGTGGTTTTAAAAGAAAAGTACGATAAAAATTGGAAATGAGTGTCGGTAATGTCGAAACCCTAATTTTTAAATATTATTATTACATGTGTGAATTTTAATCCAAATGACCTGAAATTTTGCATGCAGCATTTTTAATTGATGATTGATGTGATAATGTAAATTTCAAATGCAAATGAATATAATATTTGGTGCGGAATATACGAAATACCAGAAGTACAATTTTTAAAATTCGGGGTTGAAATGTGTGAAAGTGGACCCCCGGTCAATGTGTTTGACCTACTTAATCCTAATTGTGATTAATGTGAGTGATTTTGAAAATTTGGGAAGAAAAATGTGATCTCTAGAACAAAAGTGCTAGTGTGTGAATGGATAGTACAGAAACTGGAGTTACCAGGGCACTTTGGGGGCATCATTTTGCATGCAGTGTATGATTAACTATTAAATGTGATAAACATATTGATTTTATAATTACAAATGTATTAGAAACAACGGGTGAGACAGTCGGTGTTCGAACTAATACGATAACATCGGAAGGATCCACCGATAGAACCGAAGAATAGTAGATCGATATATTTGAGGTGGGTATATATCTTTATATGTTTTGAAAATGCTATTATAAGATGGTGTTAGATGATAGAATTTAATAGCATTATCCATGATTACGTGTTATGTACTGGGCGTGCAGTAGTGTGCTAGCACTGTGCTGTTCCTGGGAGGTTTGGGAGACACAGATCCATGTGGGATCGATTACCTGATGAGTTTTGTGCAATGTTAATATGATATTCTATTCGTTATGTCAAATCAGTTGAGGGACTATATAATAAATTGTTGGGTTGTATATTATGTTAAATGAGAGATTATTATAGCAAGTTAATAGTATATATATTTGTAAACAGACTCAACAGACATACTTTGTGATGTATGCTATGTGGGTGTGAAATTTTGTATCTGTCTATAACATCGAAAACAAATAATTGATACATGTATTATATATGGTACAGGTTATGAGACAAGTTTATCATCAGACTTATTAACTAAGGTAATGGGTGGTATTGTTACACCTGTAGGATTTATTAGTGTTTTATTAATCTAGATTATATATACGTAAACAGCTGTATCTAAAACTTAGTCGCGTCTCATTCTTGGGAGACCGGGATGAGGCGTGACAATCGTTGCCTAGGTATTCCCCTATCTCTCTCTTGATCTCTCTTTCTTCTCACTTTGTAAGCCACCAAGAGAGATAGACCCACCAATGACATCCACCAGAGTCACCAGCACCAGACGCTAGGTTTTCTCTATTTCCCTCTCTCTCGGTCCTCTCTACTACCACACACCCACACCCACACTCAGTTTCTCTCTTCTCTCTCATGTGTATGTTAACCCCTTTCTCTTCCCCACTTCTCTATCTAATCTTTCTCTCTCCACTATCTCTTATCTATTAGCTTGAACAACGACTACCACCATGGAAACCCATCAGCAACCTCGCCAGCAGTCACCGCCGCTCCTCTCTCATTCTCTAGGTATATCTCTCTCCTTTTCTCCTCTCTCTTCCTTTATTCCACCATCAGCTTTCCACAGCCCCTAACCCTTACATACACACATACACATTAGTGATGCACAATACACACCCCCATAGCCACATGCTAAAAAAGAAAATGCCACACTCACATTGACAAACACCCACAGAATAGCATTATCAGTGTAGACCTATAAGTTGTTCGATGAAATGCCCCAAGGGTTTTTGACACATACTCACTTAACAAACCCTTTGAACCACAATCATCAAGGTAAATTGATTGTTTATAACTGTTTCTGTGTTCATTTCCCCTGTTAACAATAAATTGACATGGTCCCATGGGTAACCCATGTTTTTGTTTATGTGTTTATTTTTCATTTGTCCAATAATTTTTTTTTATTTTTTACATTTTCTTTATGGATTGGGAAACTATATGCACACTTTTTTTTTTTTTAATTTTTGAATTAGTAATGAGCAACACTCTGCAGGTAGAATGATATTCATTTATTGATGCATTTGTTAATGTTCACACTATTGAGGAATGTTGATTTTCAAGCATGCATTTGTTAATGTTAACAATACATTCTGAGCAAATTTACAAATTGTGTAAGTATAATCAATATACTGTTTTTACCTTAGTTACAATTCAATGCCCTTTGATTGGGCATCTCACTCTTATTCAATTGCAATTTTGCTTAATATAAGACTACCTAAATTAAAGTCTATTATATCGCATCTTCTGTATCGCAAGTAAACCCTAATGAGGTTTTTGTTTACGCAACCAGGTTTTTGCTTAATGAGTTTTTTGTTATGCCACTTTTTTTAGTTGGCAATTTATGGTGTTGTGGTAATTCATTCATTGTTTGTGCAATTCAGAATGGTGTTTTCTAGCATAGAATTCCTGCCTAAATCGGTAACTACCTTGCCTTTTTTTCCCATTCCTAAATTGTGCGCATGGAATTCCTTTCGGTTATATGCTGAACAAATGCCACGTCTTTGGTTATGCACATGGTTAGTTTGATGAAATGTCTCACAGAAACATGGTCAGTTGGATTGAATGAACAATAGGCACACTTTTAACAAATTCACAATAGGCGCACTTTTAATTTCTAATTAACAAATTAATTAATCGATGAGTTGTGATTATGTGTGACGAAAAATTTTAAATTGGTTATAAGTTGAATTTTTTTTTCAGAGCATCTTTCTAGAAAGAACTTTGTATAGATTTTTTTTTTTTTGAGAGTATTGGGTTTAGAATATTAAATCTAAATAATCTAAAGAACTTCGCAATGTATTTTCAAATGTATTCTCTTTTCTTTTTTTATCCTTTATTTTTTTGTAATTGACAACTTTTTTTTACACAGTGCCTTAAGTGAGAAAAGTTAATTTGTGCAGGTGGTCGAAGCATTAATCGATGGTGTTGATTAAAGGCTATTGTGGAGTAGGTTAACTTTGTGAATACAACAATATTGAGGTATTATTCTTGATATTCTATGTTGCACTTCTTCATTTGAGTTTTGATTATTGTAGCACATTTTTTAAATTGAGGATTAATTTTTCTTTTATATGAATTGCTAAAGTGTATCGAAAATCGGGTAGTTTCTTTTAAGCTCAATTTAATGGCCTTGACTTTCTTGATTTAATGCATGTGTTTTAAGGTTTCTTGGAATTCTATACATGAATGTGTGTATTGGATGCTACAATCTATCATATTGTGCTTTTTTGAATTGATTTTTGTGATTAAT